TCGTTGTGACCTTCTCCGATCCCAGCTAGCCCCGTATCTGAAGGTAAAACCTTCTCCTCTTCTAGGTTGGTTAGGGTTGGGGTGTGGGTTTTGTGGTTTGAGTCGCTTAGGTTTTTAGGTGAGAGAGAGATGAGTTTACTCCCCATGGCCACCGATCCACGGTGGCCGGGGAGTTTTGGGTTCTCTGTTTGCTGGAGAAAGGGGTTGAGAAGGAGAAGTGTTGAGAGCCTTTTCGGCTCTCTGTTATGAGAAGGAGAGAGGGAGATCGGCTGAGGAAATGAGGGGGAGAGTATATGATTTTAGGGTTTCCGAATAACCCTTAAAAGGGTTATATTTCAGACGTCGAACGGCGTCGTTTTGAAGCATGAGTGAGGCTGAGTGATGGGATTAAGGGCTAATAGCCCATTTGGTCCTCTATCTCTGTAATCTTGCACGCGTGTCCTTAGCATTCATGGCTAAACAACAGTTTAGGTCCCCCCAAGCTTCTGTAAGGGTGTAATCTGGTCACTAAGGAAGTCCATGCAATCTTATTTCGAGCCTATAGTTTTATTTGTTTTGTTTACATCACTAGTATATATTATGTAGGTTTTATGATCTTCGAATTTGGACATGTAATTTATGTTTTTCTTCATTTTGGTCACTGGACTGGTTATTGTTAATATTTCAGAAAGTTTAGACATTATACCCTTTATTTATGAAACTTTTATTTTGATCACTATTATCATATTTTGGGTTAAATTTCGATTAATGTCTATTTATTTTACGTTCATTATATTTTAGTCCTTATCTGTTTATTATTACATTTTTATTAAAGTTCGAATTTGGCCCTCAGATTTATGCATCTTCTGTTTTAGTCACTGTTTTGGCATTTGGTTTAAATATTTCTTTTATCCTTCATGTCTTTGTGTATTTTCAGTTTAGTTATTTAACTCTTGTTTCTTCGATTGTAGCCCTTTAAATTTTTGTATTTGTATTTTGGTCCCTGAAATTATCATATGTGCTTATTTGGTTTGTATTTTGGTTTGTAATGTTAACTTAGTTTTATTTTAGTTATTTATGTATGAATGTATTTTTACATACTCTATGGTTATTTGTATTATGTAAGTAATGTTTAATTCAATTTAATGTAAATGTTTATATTTCCAATTGCATTTTATTTTCATTATATTTGATTTTATTTTCAAGAAAACATATTTATAGAACGGGCGTGGAAAGTATCACTTGATCGAAGTGGTACAATCCGATACGACGTTCAAACAGAATAATAAAATGCAAATTCTTCCTTTTACAAGCTTATAGAAATTATTTTCATTGTTTTTATTTTTTGATTAATTTATTTGATGGTCATATTGTTTAATATTTAAATTTTAATCTTTATTATTATTTCTTCATTGAATCTTAATATGAGTGATGTATTTTTTGGAAAGTATAATATGATGTATTTTATGTCAATTTTCGTCATTATCTTTTAATTTAAAGAGAAAATATTCTTTACAAGTAAGAAATAGACGAGGTAGCTTTCCCGGCGGAGGATTGCAAATCTCGAGATTTCTTATCGAGAAAAGGATTTTTATTTTCAATAAATAAATCATAATTTATTTATTATTCTATTTTCATAATTTTTATTGTATTAATGGTTGTTATGTTACTATTAACGATACATAATTAAGCATATTGTATTTTCTACTCATGACGATATTATTTAGTGGTAATTCAAAGTAGGATATACTTTATAGATAAGAAATAGATGAGATAGCTTTCCCGTTGGAGGATTGCAAATCTTGAGATTTCTTACCAAGTGAAGTATTTCTATTATTTAATAGTAACAAATATTCAATAAATAGATCATATTTTTTACTTCATATTCAAATTGTAATTTCCACCATTTACGACGATGTGTAAGCTACACAGTACCAATCTTGGGCGTTGTGGGGTGTTTACCCTTCCCCACACGTAACCGACTCCCGAACCTGTTTTAAATGAATCTTTGGTAACGTAGACCAAATTTTTGCCTTATAAAATTATTTTTCTTAAAATTGTTTTTAAAAGACGTTTTTAGGTATTCGACCTACCTAACCCAAAGGTCGATGGCGACTCTTTTAAATTTTATTCAAATCCGTTCAAAATATTCAATTTTTCAAAATAAAGTCATAATCGTTTTAAAAATAATATTAAATTGTTTTAAAAAAAATGGTTATGACACTTACCTCAGGTTAATAAAAAAAATATTATAAAAATGATATTAGGATCGATTGCTAAGTGTTTAGGTGCTTGGTTACATTTTCTAAAAAGTTTAATTTTTTTTATATAAAAGTTAGATAATTTTAATATTTTTATTAATTAATTTTTTAAAATTTAAAATTTTATACTTTTAATTTTTAATATATAATTTCATAAAAATATTTACCTGAATATAAAATTATTATCTACATGTATATTCACGATGTTTCTGAAACCGATGTTTTCCCACAATTTACATTTGAACATAACCTCAAATTCGTCCGACATGATTTTTATATAATAGATTAAAAACATTCTTTTGATTCAAAGTGCAGAAATTAAAAATAATTTTCCTTGTCTTTTTATATATTGTTTACTATTTTAATTTCTTGGTGGTTTTCCTAGTAATATTATAGAATAAACTAATAATAATAATCTCTCATAATGGGAATTTGATATTCATTTTAGAAAATACTGAGCCAATGATCAAAGATATGGATCCAAAGATGTTTGAGAACAATTGTATTTTTAAAAATTTTAAATTTTTTTATGTTAATAATTTATTTTTATATTTCTTTAATTTTTATATATAATATCTTTTGATTTTTTAATATAATTTATTATAAATTTGCATATCTTACATAAAATCGCATGGTATTTTTACCTACAACATCTGAATTAAATGTCTATTCATGTCATCATGTGAGTTTCTTCATTTGTAGAAAGAATGTGATATTTTATCTTAACTTTATGTAGGTTTGATCTAGCAAATTCATGCAGTTCTTGTATATTATTGTACAACGGCTTACTTTATAGGTGCAATAGTTGTGCTTTTTATTAATTATCAATTTATATTATTTCCATTGGATTAAAAAAATTTAATTTTACAAGCAAATTTAATTCAGTATCATTTGCGTTTAATTAGTATTTTCTTAATAAACTAAGGTGATTGTGAATAATATTTGTTTTAAATACTCTCAACCATTTGACAATAAACGCTCAATCATCCTACTACAGTCACTGGTGGTCGAACCCGTGGCTTCTAGGAACAACAATAATTCCTTTAATCATAGAGGAAGTATATATATATGATAAACTACATATTTAGTACTAAACTACTACTTTTGTTTCATGTTTTTCTATCCAAACTTTATTTTTTTCAAAATCATACCATGTAGTTTAGATTTCAATTTGGTACTCTACCATTAAAATTTTTAACAGAATTGCTAATGTAGTATATATTTTTTCCAATGGTGATGTGGCATTACCTTACGATGATGTGTCAATATCAATGTTAAATTTTCAATGGCAGTGTACCAAAATGAAACTTAAAGTAAATATTAGGCATAGTTTTGAAAAAAAAATTTAAATATCAAAATAGAAGGAAAATAATACTTTAACTACTAAACATATAATTTTTTACGCTGAGATATATATATATATATATATAGGTACAAATTGGGGGTGTTCAAATGGTTAATTCAGTCACCAACCGAACCAAATTAACATTAACCGAATTAACCGAACATTTTTTAATCGTTATCCGAATTGAACTTTTTTTGTGAAAATATTAATCGAACCGAACAAAGTTAAATTATTTCAGTTGGTTAACCAAATTAACTGATTTTTTATAGTATTTTTTATAGTTTTAAAATTAGATTAATTTAATTATAATAGAAATATTTTTTATTTGAGTTAAAATAATTGAGTTTTAATTCTTTATGGGTTTAGCTTAAAATCTGGATTTAGTATATAATATAGTATTTAATAATTTTGGTTAATTCTATTAATTCGATTTCGAACCGAATTAACCGTTAACTGAATTCTAAAAAAATTATTAACCGTTCTCCGACTAAATTAATTTGATGACCGACCGAATTAACCGAACTAATTCGATTCAATTGATTAATTCGGTTAAATCGAACATTGAACACCCGTAGTAAGAACATTTTCAAAACTCTTGTTTGTATTAGGAATATATTTATCAATAAACCATTAAAGACGGATGGAAATTCAATAAAATTCAATTCTAGGCTGATAAATATTATCTTCCTAACCTAAACTTCAGATTGAACCCTAAAAAGTAAGATAGAACAGGAAAATATAGTTAAAAAACGAGCCTTGATTTCCCATTTACTTGGTCAAATTTTCTCACAACTAATCTTTAGGATGAACCGAGGAGGTAATGGGATAAAGTCGCAATCTTAAAAATTATAATTTTTTTTATATTTAAAATTATACATATACATTATAATTCACACCCTGTCAAAATTTATAACTTTACATTCCCTAAAAAAATTAATATAATTTTGTAAGTTTACAGCATATAATTTTTTGTTCATTCTTAACTGTCTTCCTAACCTAAACTCCCAAATTGAACCCTAAAAAAAGTTTCATTAAATGCAATTTTAATTAAATAATTAAAAAGGCGTAAACACTCAAGTTAACCCTACTTCCTATCGTCAAAGTCTTTTATTATTTCGTATAATATAATTATGGATTTAGTGTCTATATTTTTTAAATTTTAACAATAATTTAACTTTAAAAATAAAATTTATTTGTAAAATTTTATTATTAAGTTTTGTTTCATATGTTAATTTTATATTTAATTTTTAGTCAGTAGTTGATCATTTTAAGTTCTTAAAATCTACTCATTATCCATATAAATTTTTTGGATCCAAATTTAAAAATTATTAAAATATGATAACTAAAAATATATTAAATTAGAGTATATGAGCTAAATCCACAATTTATACTTAGTATAGGGACTAATGACTGAGCTTGACCATTTTTCTTTCTTCTTCCCCTCTCACAAGTTTTGCACACTAAATACAAAGGCAAAAACCGACCTTTCAACTAAATCAAGATCTTCTTCTTTCTCTAAACCTCTCATATAATAACGGTCCACAGAAGCCCAAGGTTTTAAGCAACCACAGATTAACCCCAAATGAGGAATTAACTCCTTAGTAGCTGATATGTTATTTTCATGGATTCTCATCACGTTAAATCTCACTTAATTAGGTTAGATTTCAATTTTGATTAAAAGAATCGTTTATTTCATCGTGCTTTTTGGGTTTCTTTTTTTTTTATAGGTGGAAAGTATACTTTGAATCAAAATCTTTCGATGTTAAAATCAGAGTTCCCTACTATGGACTTGCACTACTCTGTTTTCTTTTGCTTCAACGTGAAAAAAGGACAAGAACAGATTGATGGTTTATATCGATGTGTATACAAAAAGAAGTTTATGGTGAATGCCCATTTTTAATACGTTGAAGATGAGTTCTTTTAATGTATTTCTCTTTCAAATGATGTTCACTCTTTGTGGATTTTTCTCGGTCTTCATCTCTGCTCTGTTTGAATTCTTAAGCGAAGTTTTCTCCAGGTAAACCTGATTTTCACTGTGTTTTAAATAATGAAAATCATTTTTTGTTTTATTATTTGTTCTTTAATGATTTCAGGACTCAGAGATATACTAAGCTTTCTCAATTAACCAATCCAATTGAAGAGAAAACAGAGGAAGCTAAGCCTGATGCTATTGAATTGAAGGGTCAAGAAGAAGAAGAAGGAGAAGGAGAAATGTTTGAAGAAAAGCCCGAGTCACCAAAGTTTGTTTTCAAGTTTCAGTTTCAAACTCAGACATTTGAAGAATTGAGCAACAAGTTTAGAGATGATGAGAATGATTACGCTATTGGCCTGGAATCTGATCCTTCAATAAGCACAACAAACACGTATGAGTTCAATCCAGGGATTGATTTCAGCTTCGTAATGGAGAATCCAAAGGATTCCAGCTTTTGTGTCAATGATGGGTTGTTTCCGAAACAAGATCTCTCGGAACAAAACATGAAATCTGAAGCTGATATCGTTGAAGAAACGACAGAGAAGGAAGAACAAATAGAAGAAACTGTTGATTTTGATGATGAAGATTCCAAGCAGGAAGGTGAGATTGGGTCTGCAAACATGGAGGATTCAATTTCAAATGATTTAGAGAATTTGTGGGAACATCAGCATCTGATAGAACAGCTGAAAATGGAGCTGAAAAAGGTTAGAGCAACGGGTTTGCCTACGATAATGGAAGAATCAGAGTCTCCGAAAATAATGGATGATTTGAAGCCATGGAAGATTGATGAAAAGTTCCAACATGCTGATAGAATGAGTGAGCTTCACAAGTTTTACAAGAGTTACAGAGAAAGAATGAGGAGATTTGATATCTTGAATTACCAGAAGATGTATGCAATAGGTCAGTTTTCTCTCCTCTTTTCATTCAATTTTAGCATTTTCTGATTCGATGCTTATTTAGGGTTTACGTCCTAGTTCATATTGCTTTTTTTTTTTACTGAATTCTTTTACTGAGACCACTTAGATGAATTCTATTTTTTTAAGATATCCAAGACCATGAGTTTTGAATTGGTAAATCTCTATGAGGAATTTTTACTAAAGTCAGTTAAGAAAATTTTTAGTAAGGGCTGAGATTAAATTATAAATCTCTAAGAGGTAGTATAATTTTAAAATTCTAGAATCAAGATAACATTTTTATCAAACTGGGGGACCGAAGGATAATTGTACCACTTTAATTAAAAGTTTTACAACCCTAGGGTCTAAAAGAATAATTTCACCGAATCAGGGACAAGAAGTGCTGTCCCTAATAAATACTTATCTCTTAATTTTGTAATCCTTGATCTTATTAGAATCTTAAAACATTAATTTATGGTCGATGCCAACATCATTTTGATAATTTAAAATTATTCAGGAATGATAATTGTCCTCGACTCATCCCGAAACGAGATTAAAATAAACATTGAATAAAGTTTAAAATAAGATAGATTTAAAAACACGTGTAATGAAAAGTTGGGTCGAAGTGAATACAGAATATATAAAGAATAGGGTGAGATTGCAATTTGTGTTGGTTGAAAGTACCGTGTATGTCTTTGGTGCTGTCGAGCCAAACTAGTATGTTTGATGCTAGTTTCCACCATTTCATTAAAGAGCCGAGTTTATTATAGGAAAGCTATACCCAAGTCTCCATTTCTAACAAATTCACATTAATAAAACCAAATCTGCACCGGTTTTAATGCTCCACAAGAAAGGCTTCTTTAAAAGCTAGTCTTTTTGGTGTAAAGACACTTCAAAATTTAAAAGCCACATACAAGACAGCTTGGACAAAAAGGATGCGATCGGAGATCGTGTAGGACAAAAAGGTGACTTGAAGAGTTCCCGGACGATCCAATTGCAATTCAGTCCCCGCCATCATCAATCCCTTAAACGAGCCTCCTACAATCGAGATAACCACTCTACACCTACACAATGTCAATGTTTAGAATTGTGTCCTCCCCCATCGAGGGGCTAAACTCACGATATAATGCTTTCAAAATAAATAATTCACGATCTAATACACTCTCATATTATTTGTTGAAATAGGGTGAAATCCACATAAGCAAAATCACGCATAATGTCATCTCCAGAATATAATACCTGGATGTTGAGGATTTTCGACCGACTGTGCAATAAAATTATGAATATAGATCAATGTTAATAAAAGTATATTTCAAAAAAAAAAATAATACTAAATTAACAATAAACTCAACCCTATATCAGCTTATGTTGATTGTTGAGTAAAAAAGATGTGGAAGAAAAAGAATAAACAATTTAGATTATATTTCGACCCATAAATAAGCTAATTATTGGTCAAATGTTTGATATAAATAAATATTTTTTTTTTCAAAGTTATGAATGGCAAATCATTCGAGGGTTATGATTTACGTGTATGGTCTGTTTAATTTCTAATTTTTAAGGGTAAAGCACACAAATGATCCATTAAAAGTTATAAAATGATTATCTAATTATAAGGTGTTACTTTGTTGAGTCCCTCAACTATTAAAAGTTAAAAAATGGTCACTTGACTATTCATATGTTCCAAACTTGTCCTACTTTGTTAAAAAATTATCGGTCGTCTAGGGTAGACGTTAACATGCTAACTGGGATATGATAGTCGTTTGAGATTATGATATCATATTTTTTTCATAACCCAGTCAACAGGTTAACATTCAGCTCAGATTGTCGTCATTTTTTAACGGAAAAGGACGAGTTTGTAACATATGAATAGTCGAGTGACTATTTTGTAACTTTTAATAGTCGGTTGACTATTTTGTAAATTTTAATAGTTAAAGGAATCAATAAAGTAACATCTTATAATCGGGATCATTTTATAACTTTTAATAAATAGGGGATTCAACAAAGCAACATTTTATAGTGAGAGGACCATTTATGTACTTTAACCTTTGTTATTATTAAATTGTAATTGGAGTTTCATGTACAAGTAAGCTAATTTTCCGTCACAATTCATGTAGGCTTTCTCCAGTCGAAGGATCCACTTGAATCGATTTCACCCCACAAATCATCCTCTTCTCTTCTGCACCAAAACCTGAGGCTCCGAGGGCGAAAAAAGTCTGATTTTGACCCCACGGCCAAGTTCATCAATGAGCTCAACGGTGATCTAGAGATGGTCTACGTAGGACAGCTTTGCCTTTCCTGGGAAATACTTCATTGGCAATACGAGAAAGCCATTGAAATATGGGAAACCGATCGTTATGGCCTACGCACATTCAATGAAGTCGCTTCTGAGTTTCAACAGTTTCAAGTTTTGATGCAAAGATTCATCGAAAACGAATCCTTTGAAGGCCCCAGGGTGCAAAACTACGTAAAGAACCGATGCGTCCTACGCAATCTCCTTCAAGTTCCGGTTATTCGAGGTATGAACTCTCTCCGTCCTAGATATTCATCGTAACGGTAATTTAAATCCCTTTGAGCTGAGTTCTCTATTGCAGAGGATAGTATGAAGGATAAAAGGAAAGGTAGAAGAAAAGGAAGGGACGATTACGATGATGATAATGATGCCATTAGGAGTGACATGCTAGTCGAGATCATGGAAGAATCGATACGAATATTCTGGCGGTTCGTTCGATCCGATAAAGATGCAAATGTTGTGATCAAGAATTCCAGGAAAGGGACTCAAGTAGAACCTTTCGAACCAGCCGACGTTGAACTTCTAGCAGAGGTTCAAACCAGCCTGCAAAAGGTAATTAGTCCTGTAACTAAAAAGATGGAGGTGGTGCTTATTTTAGTTTGATCCATACATTTCGAGTTTGTGATTCGAATACCGTCGCGAGTAATCCTTCGTTTTCGTGTCGGAAGTGCAGAAGGATAGGAAGCTTAAAGACATTGTAAGGAGTGGGAATTGCATACTGAGGAAATTGAGGAAGAATCAAGAGGCGAACTCGGATAATGTTCTTCATTTCTTCTGTCAAGTGGATTTGAAATTAGTGGCAAGAGTTTTGAACATGTCAAAAGTGACAAAAGACCAACTCTTTTGGTGCCACAACAAATTGAGCAACATTAGTTTTGTTCATAGGAAGATTAATGTAGAACCATCTTTTTTGCTCTTCCCCTGTTGACATAAGTCATCCAACAATATATACTCCATACTTGTCTGATCCCTAAGTCTCCTCTAATTATTAATATCAATATTGTTTCAATCAAATTCTTCCACTCATCAATTTAGAATTGAATGTTAACTTAAATTTGAATATTTAAAACACACAGATCAAATTATGTATGTTATGCAACTATAGCGCGAATTTAATGTGTTAATAAAAATTATATCATATCAAATCACACATTCTATTTTCTACATATTATATCTAAATTGTTAATACAATTAGGGCAGTAAATGAGTCAGGTTGAAGTAGTGTTGGGCTCGACTCGAAAACTTACGCGTCTAAAATTGTCAAGCTCAACTCAAATTCGAAAAAAAATTGAAGCTCGACTCGAATCAAAAGCTCACGAGCTTAAAATTTTCAAGCTCGACTCAAAATCAAAAATTGAAACTTAACTCGAGCTCAAAAATTATAAACTCAAAATATTATCAAACTTAGTTCGATTGAACCTCAAACTTGAATTTAAACATGAACCTTAAGTACATGAAAGCCTTATATATTATATATTTTTTAACAGAACAACATATAAATATTAATATTACTAATAATTTAATTTAAAAAACCTAAAATTTTAGTATATTATTTTTTTGAGTTTCTCGCTAGCTTTTCGAGTCATGTATCAAATAGAGACGGATGCACTTGATTACCTAAGGGTCAAGTGCATACCCATTATTTTGGATAAATTATTAAATATAGTTTAATATATTGAGGGAAGGAGAAGAAAATAAGAAATTTTGTATACCCATTTTGTTGGAAAAAAGAATTTAAAAATTTTTGAACCCTTATTTTTAAATTTGTGGATACACCACTGATATCAAGTAATTTGCTTCGACTCGTTCAGAATTCGCGTCGAGTTCAAGCTCTAATCGAGCTCATTCGATTTGAGAGTTATATGAACTTTAACTGAGTAAATCTCGAGTACCTTGCGATATTTCACGTGATTAATTTCCTTATTAAACCCAAGCTTATATTTTAGCATAAACATATTACTAGATTGAGAATAGGACACAATTGAAAGGGTATTAAAAATTTGAGGACTCAATTAAAATATATTAAAATTTAACGACCAATTTAGAATATAAGTATAATTAACTAAAAAAATCGCTTATTTTATCTTTAAAAAGAAATTCGCACGTGCACTATAAATTCAACCGTAGATCAAAGAAGACCAAATTATAGCCGTAGGATCTAGGGCTTACATACAAAAGAATTCCTATTTATATATTCTCTTTCTCCAAATCTCAGCCGCTTAGGCCTTATCGTCTGTCTCTGGCATTTCTTTCTAAAACCAGAGGTGAGAAAATAAGACCCTAAGAGAAATGGTTCAAAGGCTCACTTATCGTACTCGCCATAGCTATGCTACCAAATCAAATCAACACCGTGTCGTTAAGACCCCCGGTAAGTCTTGAAGTTCCAAAAATGATGCCGCTTCGGCTGCTCTGTTGTCGTTTTTTTTCTTCAAGTTTTTGCATGAAATAATGATGGTTTTTTGTTTTTGAAGGTGGGAAATTGGTTTATCAGACTACTAAGAAGAGAGCAAGTGGGCCTAAGTGTCCTGTTACTGGAAAGCGAATTCAGGGTGTAAGTTCTTTCGCTTTTTTTTTTAATTTAAGTTGGATTTTTTAGTTCGAAATTTCATTTTTTATTGTTAGGTTAATCAAGTAAGTGTGAAATGTAGATACCTTTTTGTTTATTTGGTTGCTAAAAATGATGATACTGTTATGTTCATTTTTCATGTTTGCTCTTGGAACTTTCTGTTTCGAGTTAAACATTTATTAATGATACTGTTGAGCTTAGTTCTCTTTTTATACTTTTATGTTCTAAGCTTTATAGAATGTGAAATACTAGTCATAAATGGGATTTCTACTTTCTTTTGAGCTTAGTGTTGAAGTTATAGCTTACTATGTTTTAACGGTTTGAATTCCAGAAATACTGGTGTGTTCGTAAAAAATAGGAAATGGTGCTAAATGTTGATCATTGTAGTCATTTTTATTTGTTCATGGTGGAATGCTTTATTGCATATCAATTTGAAGCAGTTTACGAACTGTGGTGCTTGATTTTATTATACTTGTTGTATTTCTTGTAGAAATGTAAAGCCTTTTTTCAGTATAGGAAGTTTGGGTTTATTTTTTTTAACGCTATGCCATATTTATTTTACATTTTGAGTGGTTATTTAATGATTCTCCATGAATATGTGGTTGATTGAACTCAAGCAGCAAAGTTTTGAGCTTGTTCTCATGGCTTTCTTATACAACTTTTATGCAGATTCCTCACTTGAGGCCTGCTGAATACAAGCGATCGCGATTGCCTAGGAACCGAAGGACTGTGAATCGTGCCTATGGTGGTGTTTTGTCAGGCAGCGCTGTTAGAGAAAGGTACAACTATGTGCATTATTTACCAACTATTAAATGGTTATTGATTGTTTGTTTGAGGCAATTGATGATATTCTTATTTATATCTTCCTGTTTTTATTATCCAAGGATAATCCGGGCCTTCTTGGTTGAAGAACAAAAGATTGTGAAGAAGGTACTCAAAATCCAGAAGGCAAAGGAAAAGCAATCCTCAAAGAGCTAGAAATTTTATTGCTGATGAAAGCCGAATTGTGTTTGGTTTGTTGGATTTTGCCTGTTAGAAATTCTTTTTTGTTATCATGGTGATTGATGAAACTGTGGAATCGAGTTTTGATTTATTTCCTACTAGTTAGTTTCATACTGATCGGTTTGCTGCTTGTTCACTTGACGATGTATCGATTGTGAAGTTATCGTTTAATGATGGTGTTATTTTGTTGACGTGGTTTCTTTTATTAGGCACTAATCTTGCTTTTGTTTCATCCTTGAACCCTGATGTGTTAACCTCTGCTTTTGAATCTCTAAACCCCAAACCCTAAATAAGAATTGGTTAGAGTTTTAGGTGTTTCAAGTCAACTTTAGCAAAAAGAATCTTCAGTTGGGTTTGCATGCTATATTTGGTTTTATTGTTTAAGGATTTGGTCTCCGGTTCCTGGTTGACAGAAATGTAATATGGTTGTAACCGTAGCCTGCTCATGTGTGGCTAGCTTTCCCTTACAAAGCTGCAACAAGATAGTTTTCATGATCTCTAGTCACAGTTCTGGAACTTAGAAGTTATGTTTCGAGTTTCGACCATTGTAGACCGTTGCTCGGCTCGTGAAGGTTTGAATTGGTCTTTATGTTTGATGGTATGGAAACAACACATTTGTTTAAGCCCTACTCCATCCTAAATGTGAACCTTAAATCTATTTTTCAGATATAATATCTTTATACAAACAATACATATAACAAGGAATATGTCAAAACTGTACAACAATGCTGGAAATAGTTATGCTGTTGATTCAAGTGTAGCGTTATCAGTTGAACAAGTGGTGGACGTTTCACTAAGACATTGCGGTGAATCCAATGGATCCGTCACATTTGGAGGCAAACTAAAAGGAAAGCACATCGGTAAATGGTTATAATCCAGGATTGAATCTGAGTTCTTTGTCGTTCCTTGCTCGCTTTCCACTACACCTCCATTACCTTGCATATCTAGGGGCAAGCCGATCGAGAAGCCACTGTATTCCTGTTGTTTCCCTCTGAAATCAGTACTCATTGAGTCCTTGCTAACATTGGCAATTATCGGCGGACTCGACAGTAGGGAAGAGGCATCAATAATGCCCTCGGTGGATGATCCAGACATGTCAAGCTGAGAAAACATCAAGTTGTTATGAAGTTCTCCGTTGGAGACATGAAATGCAGATGGCCTGTAAACTGTCTGATGAAATGGTTTATACGTGGGAATATGTAGAGCCGAAAAACCAGCAGTGTAGCCTTGTTGCAGTTCACCGTTGTTGCCTAACGGCTTGGTGGTTCTGATTTCAGTCGTGCAAGAAATGTTTTCCGAACCGACCATGGTGAAGTATATCAGATGGTACAATCTCTGGCAATGAGGATATCCAAGGGTGGGAAAGAGCTCTTTGAGCCATGGCTAGGGGTGCACAAAAAATCCGAATATCCGATTTTGCGAAAAAAATATCCGAAACCGGATTTGGGAAAAACCGGTTTTTTTTAACCGGATCGGATTTTTTTAAACAGGTTATTTTAACCGGTTTGGAGAAAAAACCTAGACCGGTTTTTTTACCGGATAAAAAACCGGTTTGAAAAAAACCGGTTAAAAAACCGGTTTTTATCCGGAAAAAAAAACCGGTCTGGGTTTAAAAAACTAGCCGTTGGGGGGATTTTGTGTCCGTTTTTGACCGTTTTTTTCTTTAAAAACTACCATTTTACCACCCTAAACATGTATAAATAGGTTGGGGATGTATTTGGTTGATTACAAATTTCTCAAATCTTATTACACAACACTTAAACATCTCTCAAATCTTATTTTTGTAATTTTTTGTTCATCATGAGTAACACGACTGAATCTTCCGTCGGGGGAAACCTTGAAGTCGTGAGAGTGATCGAACACACTCGAAACAAAGACATTTGGGATCACTACGATTTATGTGAGATGTCAAATGGCTCGAGGAGGGCGCGTTGTAAACTTTGTCTAAAGTTTCTTGCATCGGAAGGAAACACAACGTTGAAGAACCATTTGACAAAATCATGCAAGACACTTCGCTCAAGATCGGATCCTAGTCAATCGAATCTTACACCGCAAGGTGGTGTTTTTGTTTACGACAACGAAAAATTACGAGAAGCGTTTACAAAGTTCGTGATTACAAAAGCATTGCTGTTCGACCACTTTGATGATGAAGATTTCACGACAACAATTCAACAACTAATGCAACCACGTTATACTCAAGTAAGTCGTACTACCCTTAGAAGAGATGCTATAAAAATGTGGCGTACGACGAGGGAAAAAATGATTTTAGGATTCCAATAACACCGTTATGGTGTGTCGCTTACATGTGACGTTTGGAGTTCCCCTCATAATACCGAAAATTCTTTTTTAGCCGTTACGTCACATTGGTTAGATCAAGATAATTGACAA